AAAAAATCTTCATTTCTCTAACAAATTTAGTGAAACTTATCTAAGACATTGACTGGATTAACTTTACAAAGCAGCTGTAAGGATGCTGAATTCTAAAAGTCTTTTTGTTTAGTAGTTGCTTAAAAATAAAAACAATTACAGAACAATTTCCCAAAGAGCTACTATGGAGCTGCTGTTGCATAGACAAACCTTTAACAGAAAAGCAAAACTTTTCTTGCTTCCATATTTGCAATATTACTTATTCTGTACACAAGTGTCCTATGAAGTTCAAACACAGGTTATTTATGACATTGTTTCATAACTCCTTTATTGTAACTGAAGTGAAAACTTAAAAAAAAAGCCCCTAATAACTGCACTCTAAGATAAATTTTATAAATAAAGAGTCTAAACGTAATTCTCTAACAATAGGAATTCTCACAATAGTCAAGCAGTGTCTTAAAAAGAATTTATGGTTATGAGTGGCTTTGGGCAATGCCTTCACAAAAAAATCTGATTTACTTACGGGGCTTGCGTGCGAGTTGTATATTCTTTAAATTCACTGTCATGTATGGTAAAGTACGGCCTGAAATCACTGCAGTACTTTAACGGTGAAACGCAACTGCCAGGTAGAAAGAGGACAAGCTTGTTATATGTATATGGTGCGAAATTTTCATGAAAGAAATAAGCAAACCCACATTTGTAATGCTTTGTTGTGTTTGGATCAAATGAAGTTGCACTCAGCTGCAAGCTGAAAGGACTCCGTCGTTAGGAAGCTCCACGACATTTACCTAACAAGTGCCAACACGGTTTCTGAAGATTCTGATGGTGATGGTGCCATCACGACAAGTGGTTCTCCTAGCAGTACTAGCTCCCAAAGCATCTGAATGTGAAAGAACACTGGACAGAAACACCTAAAAACAGATTGAGGTATTTTAATATACTTAACCTGAAGAAATATGTATTTGACTAACAACTAGAAAAACAAGGAAGTAGTATTTAACAGTCACTTGAGAAAGACAAAATACTCTTGTAAAATGGAACATTCAGTGAACGTGCTTATTTATTGCACTTTCAGTTTGCACGTTGTTAGCCAGCTTTACAGAAAAAGGATAATAAACCCAATATCAGTAAATGTTAGTTTACAAGCTGAGACGTGTTACGGAACTGTCATAAATCTTGAACTTGTGGAAATTCACAACTAGGAATAAATCAGTCCAAACTCCTACCTGAAAAGATCTACTTCATGAACAGTCGGTAAAGCCAAGGAGATTTGAGCATCTGCCTAAAAGACATCGCAATGCTTGGTTTTTAGTCATCAGAATACCTAGGTATTAAATGAAACAATTTCCCTTAAATGCTTACAGACAGCAGACCGCATAAACCTTAATTATCTACCACTACTCTACTACTGCAGTATGTGCTACATTATCTCCACAATTAACTATTCCCCCGGTGCTAAAAGCAAGTCTTCCCCCAATGCACACACACATCACTTACAGGCATGTGACTTTCAGTCCAGAAAATACGTAAAACACGGTTTTAAACAACAGTCACGCAGCACATGAAGGCAGACAGATTTGGTTTATGCCCATCTTCCACATCTTCTGTGGCTAAAGATTGTGAATTTGTTCTCATCCTCAAAATCCACTAGTAGTTTAGTATAGTTTTACCCATTAAGAGAACGTTCAAGTTCTGTACTTTTGCCAACCAATTATCCACTTCCAGGAGCTGGGCATGCCTCTTCTGAAGTACTTGCAGTAACTTTAGACTCAAAGCTACAGAGACTGTGGATTTCGTCGTTATCAAAGTATATGAGGATCTGCTACCAATCTTTTACAAACGAGTTTAAAGTAGAAGACCGAAAGCAGATGCTTAGATTTGTCTCGGTGTTATGCATGACAGAAGTATCTTATCTCTACCTGGTGCATATTTTGTACTACTGGCGTTGTTCCAGGCTTGTCACGGTATGTTGGAATCCGCAACTTTGAAAGAAAAAGAAACATTTTTTTCTCCTTGTATTGTACACAGCAGAGACTTAAAATACTGACTTACAAAAAAGATGCAACATTTATCATATGATATTTAATTTACTCTACAGAACATGCACATAACAATGAATACATAGCTAAAGACTACAGATCATGGCTAAAGGAATCGATACATAATACTACGTTGAACTACATTACAAATTGAATATTAGAGTAAGAAAATTATACATGTCAGTAAAGACTATTGATAACATTAGTCATAACTATTACAATAATTTTAATAAAACCACATTTAAATGCTTGAGAAATAAGATTACGGGGCTTTAAGGTGGTATGGAATTATTTTTCGAAAAAAATCCTCTCCTGAAACATCAAACATCCTGGTGGGTATGAGTCAGAATCCAAACAGGCTGAACAACATAAACATATTTTTCTGATCTCAGAGCCTGCATCTGTAAGTCTTGAGCACTACAGATCTAATCACACTGGAAGCCGCTGTGCACAAGAGGATGCAATTTGCACACAACAATTAAAATTGACTGCCCAAACAGTGTAAACAAACAGGGACAATGTAAGAGCTACTGACAAGATAAACGCAGGCAATACTCAAACAAGACATATCTGACACTCATCATTATCATCCAGCATCCAGAACAACACTTAATTAATTTTGTGCTTTCACGACAACTTCAGAAACTTCCGCTTCCTCTCCCTGGTGATGTACATGTATTTAGCCAGGAACTCGAGAGTATCTGTTAAGAATGTACTTCTGACTGTAACCTCTGGATCCATCGAATCCATTTTATTGCATTTCATATGAAGATGCTGTGGCTCCCAGGGGCCCAGTTCTCAATCACCATTTCACCTCTACAGCTCCTCCCCACGCACTAGACGCAATTTCCTTAACAGCCTTCAGACATACCTCACTTCCATGGAACATTATCAACAGCCCAAGACATCTCACTTCTGGCGTGTGGCCCAGAACACATTTTCACTTGTCAAACTTCATGAACAAGAGCCATTTTCATCAATACATTTAATTTGCTTGACTGGAAATTAATTCTCAGTAATTTGAAGTGTTAATTAATGTCTGATTTAACAAATACAACTTGCATTAAGTCTCCTAGAACGCAAAGTCCAGAAGGATAATAGAGACACCGCAATTAGCAGTTGTATTGAAACATCACTTTTTAATATCTACAAAAATTACATGTTAACCTATGCACCATAGAAGATCCTCCCCTTCCTCTCCCCAGTCACAATCTCCCAGACCTTCCCTGAGTGGAATACACATCTGTTCCTGTCCTGCAGCACCAGATACTGAAAAGGGTGCAGAATACAGCAAATACCTACACAGTACATGGAGGAGAAAACACCCTCAGAGAAAAGTAAGCATAGGAGTATTTACCTTCATTATCATACCCATAATAGGCAAATGCAGTATTTTCCCTGGAATTGGTGGTGGCCAACGATCAACATCACTACAAACTTAAAGAAAAAAAGAGTATGATTTATAGCTAGTTTATATATATGCAGTCACCTTTGTGCACACTGCAATTTTCAACTTCTGCTGATAATCCACAACAGTTCTACTTATCTCTTGATCATTCTTAAGAAGTTTTACAGCCTTTCTGTCATTCTTAATGTATTCTTTTGTTAGAACTAAAAAGTTTTTTCATTTCAGGAAAACAATATCCCATTGTCTTCCATTTTTTGTAGCAACTAGACCCACAATTAGTTGAAGAAACGTTGTATGAGAAGCCATGGGAGTACATATTGAAAAACTTTGAAAATAACACACATATTTAAGTACATTAGCTAACGTGGAATAAAAAAGCCCAAGAGGTTAAGGAAAAAGCCAGTTTTCTAGCCTGGCTAGAAAGTTTTTCAGCATTTTGCTGTAAACAATCACGAATATCATCACTAATTCTAATAGTTTCTGCAGAGCTTATTTTGTTCATAATACAAACTCACAAAAAAACCCTCAAACCTGTTTATCAGCAGATAATTAAAAAATACAATTCCTTCATCAACAACAGCTTCTAGAAGTTACTTCTCAGCAAAAGCACAAAGATAGGAATGACGTATAAGGCAGACATAGCACAAAGGACACAGCATTTCTGGGCAAAGACCAAATACTTTTCCATTTGGCTCTCTCTGGCTCTTAATAGTCCTGTAGTAAGGCTGAGGCACCTGTTGTCAGTGCTGCTCTGCTGTCTTTTCCTTTTGGTCAAAATAACCAAAATCCAAGCATGACCTCCCACTCCCCACGAGATGACATTTGTACAGTTGCTTAAGAAAAGTTGTCAGAATGCCCAAAAGGACTCATTTTATGAAGAACTAACGATTGACATCAGCAACTTGTGCTCAACAGCTGGTCCTGAAACACAGAACAAAACTCGAGCTATTTTTTTTAGAGAGGAGTTTCAACACTCCTGTGAAGGATCCAAAATTACATTACCTCTGTTCAACGATCTAGAAATGAAGCCAGTTTGCTAAAGTTTCAACCCTCTACACTGCAAGACAGAAACGGAAACTAGAATGTGACAGTGTTGTTTGTTATTTCTCCAAAAGAAGTATGAGGTATTCTAAGAGCTCTTCCAGAATGACATTACCTGCTTCCAGGAAAGCTTCATTTTTCTCAAAATATTCTGGAGCTATTTGCTTAAGCATGGTGCGAAAAAGTTGGACATATGGTAGCTTGCTGATGAGGACCAGCGACTGGAATAAAAAGAAACAAAACAAAACCACAATTTTAAGTTAACCCTTTCCCTCAGTTCTACTGCAGTTCTACTGGTTATCCTCAAAGAATGTAAAGTGTGATTCTTCTCACACACAAGCCAACCACACATCTGAGGACACGTAGCTGCAAACAAATGACTCCCAAATCACAGAATCATAGACTGGCCTAGGCTGGAAAGGACCTTAGAGATCATTTAATCCAACCTCCCTCTCATGGGCAGGGACGCCACCTCTCGACTAGACCAGGCAACACAGGGGGAGCGAGCGGAAATCGAATGCGAGACCTCAGTGCTGGGCATTGTTGCCAGCACTGCACTCAAACCACTGAGCTAACCGGCCAAGTTCTTGTTTTTAAACACAAACCCCCTCCTGTTCTGACAACGTAGCTGTACATAGCATGACCTAGGTAAAATTAGACCACTTTACTATAAATCAACAATGAATTTAGTTAAGAAAGCAAGATACTCTCCCTGCTCTGCTGAGGTTACTGAGAAATAATTAATTGCTGAATTAGTATTTTCCTACAGATTTGAAATTACCTTCTGGAAATAGCCTCTTTTTAATGATTTGTCTCGAACTTGTCTGAAATATACATAGCCATAGTAATATGCCGGATCTTTCTGCAAAAGAACGGAAAGAATTCAATACAATCACCTCATACTGTCCTTCTTTCTGAGGCATTCAATATGCATTTTAAATATGCATTTTAAAAACTTATAGAAGGTGAAGCTCCAAACTTGATTAGATAAAACAAACTAGAAGGATTACTCTTTTACTGCCCTGCAAGCTCCAAAGTTGATTAGACAAAACAAACTAGAAAGATTACTCTACTGGCAGTAAAGAACTTCAAAGAAAATACGAGTGTGTGGGAACAGTGGTGTTTTCTGGCTTTACTGTTCTTAAATCTACACTCTCCTGACACACCGTGAAAGCAAAAATACAATTAATTTCCTGAGAAACATATCAACATTCATAATTTTGCAAAGCAGCAGTAAAAATATATTTTAGCAGTTTAAAATCTTAAAGCCCTGACTTGAAAAGATAAAAACTAGTATTTCAATGTATTAGTTTTATAAAAGATCTTGGAATATTAAGGAAGTACGTTCTCACATTTCAAAGATACCATGTCAGCTTCATCCCTCCTACAAAGAGGAATTCAAGAATTTGAAACATAAACAGATCTAACTTGAGTTTGAGACTCAGACTCCCACTAGCATAGTTAAAGGCCTCAATACTCCATAAGGACATTGCTGAGAACAACTTCTTGGCTGCTACCTCTTTAGGTAACCGCTCCATCTTTAAAAAATGAAGAGTGGAAACCAAGAGAAATATCTCAACTTTTTTTTTCAAGTTATAAAGCAGTCAGATCTCTACAAAGCTAATGGTTTGCACAATTTGATCTACAGACTTCTAGTCAGTAATAAAATAGGTCTGATCTTCAATTTAGTTCCTTGCAGTCCCAAACCCATAGTAATAAAACTTGTAGAATAGTTAAGGGAACTAATTATTAGCATGTCATTATCATGCTAATTAACTACGAAGAATATTTGCTGAGATTTGTCTTTCAGGACATCCAGTTCAGAAATTTTGTTTTCCCAGCACTACACTGAAGTGTGAAGACCCATAAATTAACATTATTTAAAGGAAATGAACTTCATTTCTTTTCCCCAACCTTTAAGTAAACTGGTAGATCTCTATCCAACTGGTCCAGAAAACAACACAATGAGACTTTCCTTCCAGGAGACCGTCGAAATCTAAAGCAAAACTGTGTGTCCCCAAGACAACCTACACAGGGGGAAGAGATAAACAACAAATAGACAATATTCTGAGTTTGAGCCCATGCGGACTTGTTTACAGACAAAGAGGTCTAATAGTTTTTGTTCATTTATCTTGCACTGCTGTTGTGCTCTGCTATCATGACTATTAATATTTCTGTAAGTTAACAAATTAGCATCTTTGGCAATAAGAAATCTTACCTTCAACAAGAAAAAAACCACAGTCACTCTGTTTCACAGTGCGTTTATTAGACTGTTGTGTCCTTAAACAGCTTCAGTAACGGTGTCCTCCGACTGTCATTACACATTTGACTGGGTCTGTCTGTATAGCTGTGATTGTCTTAACAACACATCATTGCTCCACTGAACGACTGCACTTGAGCCTTTTCTTGACACCCAACAGCTGACACCTGAGTCACTCCGTAAGAGTGTATTATGCTGATCTCTACAACACTACGTGCAGGCATAGGGCTTGGTATTTTTGAAAGTCACAAAACTAACTGCAGAAATCTGAGCGAAACGGAGTGCTACTTCCCTGTACTACTCCCAAGGAGTGGTTTCCCTTCATTTCTAACAAAATTAATATCTGAAAGAAAAATGTAGCTTATTACATTGACTACAGGCAGTCTGACAAATAAATCTGGGCTTAGTCTGTACCGAATAGTAAAGAAAGTTTCTCCAAGAGGAACGTGAGAACTGCAGTCATATCACTGATATTCTCGTGGCTATGTTCTTGCCATTACAAATGTTGTCTGCTGTTAAAAAGAAAACAAGCTCCATAAAATCTCTAGTTCAAGTAGAAGCTGTATAGGCTGAATAGAATGTGCTGTTCACAGGAATAGTGATAAGGGAGACTGCAAGAAATGTCAAAAACATGCAGGTACATTACTCATTCCAGCAAACCTGTAAACAACAACAAAAAAACCCCACCAACAAAAACACCCTTTGGAAGCCAGTCTTACTAACAGGAACACAATCAATTGAAAGACAACCTCCTGAGCACTGCCATTGTGGTAAGCAGACCGACTTCACCGTAACAATGTAAGTGACTATGAAAACGAATCTACTATTAAACTCAGAGCTACTGTTAGAACGGTAAGCTTCCAGCTGACAGAGAACATTTGCTTTTCCATATTGAATCTAACTTCTTCATTAGTGCTTTGCGCTTACAGCTTTTGAACATAATTTGCAAAGACCTCCAGGGAAAAAAAACCCATGAAGTCACCACTGATCACCTGAACTCTCCACAGCTGTCCTGTCTTACAACAGCCAGTGCTAATTAACTGAACAGTAAACAGGAACTCCGTTCTCCAGATAGACATTCTTCAGACTTAAAACCTCAATTTCATCTTCTCTCTCCATCACACAAACTTCTACAGCAACCACAGACAGCCCAAACCCTCCGTCCAGCTCAGGGGCCGTGCAGCGGGCAGTAACACCGGGGTGGTCGGAGCATTCGGCTCCGCTCCTCAGAACTCCCTGAAGTTGCAGCAGGAAACCCAAAACGCACCAGTCAAACCCAAAAGGTAGCAGAAGATGGTGCACTGGGATAACCACCCAAATCAAATAGGTAAATAAAGGAAGTGCTTAGAAACATGGATCCCACCATTACAAGAAAAAAACCACAGCACATGCCAGTAACACAGCACAAAACATTTGCTCCAAGTTCTCACCACTAGTTCCCTTCATACAAAGTAAAATAAAAAAAGCTATTATAATAAGGCATACACAGAAGACCTAAAAGTCAATGATGCTTAATCATTAACATATTGAAATATTATTCAGAATATGATGACTTCTTATTTTATAAGCTCTTCAGAATTTGAGAAGATTGACAAATGTCTATTCTTTCTTCAACTATCCCAGGCAGAAAAGGCAAAAGCATTATTTTGAAGACAAATGTACTGGGAAACTCGGCTTAAAATGACAGTGTCATCATCTAGTACCTGATTAAATTAATTCTCCCCTCAAATTCACAGCCACTACAAGCCCTCATTCATAGTTGTAAAAGAAAAAAAAAAAAGAAGGTGAATTAACCTTTTGAACTATGTAAGCTTAGGAAAGACTGACCTCAAATTTAGCTACAAGCTAGTAACTTCCTTTACCGCTTTACTACACAAAGCTCTCCTTTCAATGTTATGGCCTACAATGTAACAGTAAATCGTAACAGACATGTATCTGTTCTGCCAAAAACTAATTTAGTATCAATCTTATATGAAAATATAAAAATAATTAAAAATCAGCCCACTGCATTTTTTTGTACCTTCAATACACATTTTGAGGGTTGGACAGATTTAAAACCCTTAACAATGAGAGTAATGAGAAGATACAGTTAAGCAATCTTTTCGTTCAGTAACAGAAAGAAGCTCTTCCTCTATTTACATACAAGATTTCAAAACCAGAGAAAATATCTTAATTTTAATGACATTAAGACAAAGCAGAAAATAGACCCAAACTATTTTGTAAAATTACATGAGAGGTCATGCACATATAAAAGCCCAAATCTGCATCGCCTCATTTCAAAGTTGTTACTCTGCAGAGCAACCAAAAGGAGAGAGTAAGAGCAGTTACAGGGACAAGTCTCCTACTATACACTTTGACTTTTGTAAAGAAATAAACATGAAAGAAAGTGTTTGTACTTCGGCCATATCTTTTTGTAGGTGGTCCAAGTTATCAGCCACGTGCCTCAAATTTCTCTTTGGCAGCAGAACAGAAGTTCAGACTGCAGAAGAATTCAGCAAGCAGGACCACACACAGCAACAGAAGCATCAAGAATAGAGAAGATAGAAAACAGCCCAGGTTCTCCCTTCACAACTGTTCTTTCTAAATGCTTATGAATTTGTAAGTCAGTCTCACTGTTAGGAATTTAGAAAATGTATGTTAACTGTGCTGTGACAAGAGGGTTCCATATCGTTTCCATTTGCTTTATTAAACCATTCAAGTTTTGTGCCTATGCTCACCTTTAAAATGACAATCTTGCTTTTAAACAAAATAATAATACCTTCTTTCTTTACTTGCAAAGCATTCTGAAACTCTGCATGTATATCATCTAGAAGGTCTTATCTCCACCTGTTCTTGATATTTCACTTACATAAAATAAAAATTAATTTAGACCTTATTTCAACAGAATTAGTTTTGTATTTAACCTTATTTGCAACTTTTCTGTACTGTAATATTAACATTCATATAATCAAAATCCACAAATATAGACTGTCAAATTCTACCTTTTTTAACATAGCTTAGTCTAACAACAAGCAACTACAGAGCCAAGAAAGCACTTACCTGAATTTGAATCCGGAAAAGACAAATAGCAAATATTGGTTTTCTAAAGGGTGAGGGGAAAAAAAAAGAGAGCCATTTAACTTCCTGAAGTTAACAAACCAAAACCAAAAGATACACCTATAAAGCAACCATGTCTTACCTCTTTATCTGTGAGTTTTGAATGTGGAGGATATATTACCTACAGGAAAAAAATATTTTATTTGAAAATAAAGTGGGTATAAGCAGCAAGATTCTATTAAATATTTTTGTGATACAGCCCTCAAATACCAGCCTAGCCTTAAGCTATTTGGTGAGCTATTAATATTGTGTCTCTGTTCTACTTTTTCATGTGCCTTTACGCTAACTTGGTCACCCATGTTTACAAGGGTATTTTGGAAGCCAGTTGGAGACCATGCAGATACATTAAAATATTCAGAGTAATTGAGATTTTTGGTGCAACAGGGCTCAAAGGAGAATAGGACTAGAGCCTTTAGACTTGTCCATACAAAATGCAGTAGAAGATTCCACAAAAAGCCGAAGCATTACTGTCCAAAACCGCCTGCGATGGGTAGCCCAAAAGCAAGAAAGACAGTCACACGGCACGTCTCCCTGCACACCGTTTGCTGCACAGTCCTGTGAGGAACCGGGCGAGAGAGGATGCGAAACTGACCCAACCGATAATTCTCCTCTCCAGCTGATTTTTCAGCCCCATCAGCTCCCTGAGGCAGCTGCCGGGGCACTCCCAGAGCCGCCAGCCC